TCCTTCATGTTGAACAGGAATGGAGCTACCTTAGGGGTGGTCTAACTACTCTTGATCGTGATTATGGATGGATCAATAACATTCATCATGACATTGGAACTCATGTGATTCATCACCTATTTCCTCAAATTCCACACTATCACTTAGTTGAGGCTGTGAGTGACTCTCTACTACTTTGAAACAATGAATAGTGATTTTCACAAGATGTTGAGATTGAATGTTATGTTTGCTTCTTTTGCAGACTGAGGCAGCTAAACCAGTGATTGGAAAATATTATAGAGAACCAAAGAAATCATCTCCTCTTCCTTTTCACCTTATTGGGGAATTAATAAGGAGTTTGAGGACTGATCATTTTGTTAGTGACACAGGGGATGTTGTGTACTATGAAACCGACCATAAGATTAATGGCTCATCCAAATCAGAGTGAAGATTATTATTTTTTATAGAAAAGATCACAAAAGAGACTTATATACAATTTTTAAGAGTCTCTTGAGTTTCTACTTAAGTTACTGCACTTCTTAGAGTTGAATCCTTCATTAATAAAGGGATGAATGGATTATATATATTTTCATTGTAACTGCATGGTAAGATGTTTAGGCTATATGTAATTTATCCTTCTTGAATAGTGAATTCTCTGTATAAATTGATTATTTTTATTGAAGTTATACTTGAGTCTTGATCAGATTAAATAAATAAATAATGTATCAGAACAAACTGTACGACCTCGGTTAAATAGTAATGTAAACTAGATTTTTGTTTTGTAAAATTATACTTTTTTTTATTATTTTTATTATTATTTTTTTTTTATACTTATCATCATTATGTTCCATACTCAAATTGTAATATTTTAATTTTTTAAGATCTTCTTCCATACTCAAATTTAAAAAAACACTTACCATGTTCAACTCTGATATATGTATATTTAACTAATTTTATCTTTAGTTATACTATATCCAAAACACTTATATTTAATTGAAATTTATTTACTACTATTTTTTATATCAAATTTTAATGAAAGTTATTATTACAGGATTTTGTTTAATTGAAATTAATAAAATAAAATTTTTATTTTTTTAAAGACAAATAGATATAATAGTGGTGAATCTATTCTCTAATTAGAATTATAGTTTTATATCGATAATACATGTTAACATTTTATAAAATCATTTATTATGCATACTATTAAAGTCAAATTTGTATTCTAATCGGAAAAACATACCAATAACACTAATGAGGTTTTTTATTCTACATATTACTAAAGTCAAACTTTCAATATAATTGGAAAAACATATCACCAATATTAATGATATGCATCAAGGTTTTGTCATTTCTTTTAATTAGTATATAAATTAATTAATTTTATTTATTTTTGAGTGTAGAAGAATACTTCCTGTTTAATCTGTTTAATTCGTGATTATTAGTTTAGTGTTTGTTGAAAACAAATAGAGGTGGACGTGACTTGGTCAATCGCATGAATCGGATTTTGTCCAAAGTTAATTTTTTTCGTATTCAAGTTGGAGAAATTGAATTTAGAATCTTTTTTAAGAAAGATTTCTTTAATTCTATTTTAGATTATCTCATTTTTTATGTTTTGTATTCTTTCGATAAGTACAATTTTTAATCAATCATGCCATAGTAATATTATTTATCTTTGAAATATATATTATAAAATATATCATAATTGAATCTTATACTTTTTTTAATTTAATTTAAACAATGTTAAAATTGATTTTTTATATCAACTTCCGAGTTGATCTAATACTGTTCTTCATCGCATCAAAATTGGACTTAAATAAAATAATTTTGTTAAAATTTCATGTTGAGTTGAGATAAAAACAAATTTGCCTCAATTTATTCTACAAACACTTATAAGGGAAATCTAAACAATTATTAATCGTTAATTTTTTAATTAACAATTATAAATATATTTTATTTTCTAAAATATACTTTATCTTTTTGGAAGAGCCAAATCTAAAACACAAGTGATCACATTCTAAGTGTGCATCTGCCTACATGTTACAACCCCGTTCAATGAGAATTAAAAGAAAAATTCGAGTGACTTTGAGTTTCAAGAAATATGAGAAAACGATGTTCATACAACAAAACAAACACCCAAAATCACGTTTAAGAATCAAGTGATCACATATTGAATAAGCTTTCCATGTTTTTCGTTGTCATAGTTTTTTAGCTTAGCTTCAAATTAAGAATAAGACAAATATTATGGTATGTTGTTTTCCAAGTTTTCGCATTGCCGTCTTTTCAATGTTTCTTTCATATTATAATAAGGTCATGGACATGAAAATTGAAGGTGATATGGTAACAATGTTAATTTGTCACTATCCTTGTACTGGATTTTTGTTTGTATTCATCAATGCAAACAAAGAGAAGGCGTGGTTCAGATTTATGCACTTCCATGAAAGTCATATGGTGCTCCAAAGAATGACATTGACCATTTACCAACCAACACCCCAATGTAACCATATAGTCAACAAATAATCTACCCAAAATTTCCATCCTTAAATTTTAGATAGAAAAAGATTATAAAAAAAAAAAACCAACCCATATCAAATGACATTGTATAAAGTTCTTTTATGTTATGAAATAATTTATGAAAATAAATTAATTTATAAGCTATTGACTTTTATTTTTATTAATGTATTTGATGTTCCTAACACATGTAATTAAGTTAAAGTGATAGGGATGAATAATTATAAACTTTTCAACTATTTTTTTAAATCCAATTTAATTTTACAATGGATGAAATTAAAAGCTTAGGTGTGAATGACAGATGGATGATGATGACATTCAAAAGAAAAAATGCATGTTCAAAGCAAACTGGGATACCATGCTAAATAATAAAATTTAATATGCATGCAGCCATTGAGTATTTTTTTTAATATCTCTTTAATTAATGCTTAAAACGAGTTTAACGACTAAAATATTTAATGAAAATTCAATGACGGCTTCTAATCTTTGACCTGCACAAACGCCGTCGTCCTTTTCTCCCTTTCAGAATGTGAACACGACTCTATAACTATATCAGGCTTTCTCTTAATTGGATTTATATTTAACAAAAAAATAAATTGTATTTCATGTAAAATTTTTACAGAAAACCACTGCGTAAACAACGAAAATACCTGCACGAATTAATTTTTTTAAAATTTAATTTATATTATTTTTTAATAAAATAATATTTAATAAAAAAATTATAAATTGTAGTATCTTATTTTAAATATTTGTTTCATAAATATAATGTAATTATTTATATTAATTTATAATTTTTCATATTTTTATTTTTTATAATCTATATTATAATACTTTGATACTTTTTATTATAAATGTAAACTTACTATTATTTATAGACATTGTTATATTTTTTTAAAATTTAAATATTATATTATATGTAATTTAGAATTTTACATATACACTGAATGTTAAAATTTTATTTTAATTTTTAGTATTATAAAATTATTATTATTATTATTATTATATTAATGCTAGTGAATCATTAAATTTTAAATTAATATTTAAATTGATTCAATTTTAAAAATATTATTATTTATTTATAGTTGTCCTATCCTATTCAATTAGAATTATCTGTTATGAAAAATATTTGTAGTGTTAAAAAAATTTATGTTTAGTTTAATTTCTTTTCTTGCATAAAAGTTACTTTTGGACTAAAGTTAGAAACAATTTGAAAACGAAATATAAAATGTTTGTTAGCTTCTATGATTTTTTATGTTAAAGGTTGTATGGTATTTTTTTTTAAACTAGATATATTGTCCAAAGAAAAAAGTATATTTATAAAATTTAATAAAAGATATTGTGTAAAATTAATTTAATTTACATAAAATTATTATAGTGATAATAAAATAAATAAATAAAAGTACTAAAATAAAAATATTTCAAACTTTTAACTTTT